TCTTGGATATTGGTGAAGACCTGAACAGTGTTGCCCAGCCCTTGTCGGGTGTGCTCTGTTCTCAAAATGTCAAAACATGTTCTCTCCCTTCTGTAGTATTTTCAGCTGTTGCAAAGCTCTTGGTCCCACTGGTGCAATACTGAATGGCATACTTCTGCCCAAGAAGTAAACATTTAATAACAAACCTTTTAGGTATTTAAAGAGCCACTAAAAATGTAAAAGATGTATTTCATTAATGCTGCCATTAACATAAATGTAAAATGAGCCTGCCCTGTAATCACCAACAAGTCTGACTTACTAAGGATCTTTACAGCAATGTTTAATACTCTGTAAAAGTGTATGTATGAAAGTGATTAATCAAAGCACAGCGCTGCTTCTAGAGTATTTCTTCTGCTGTAAAGCTGAGTGATAAAATAACTTAAAACACACGGCAGTAGTGGCAGTTAATAAGCTTTTTATAGTCCCTGTGTGGACCTGAAAATCATACCTTATTAGTATCTTTATCTTTCTTGCTCACTCATTCATTCTTACTCACATTTAAATTTAATTTTAAGGGCTATTTCTAGTCTTTCATAAGGGAGCTGCTTTAATAATCTTGGCATTTTTCCCCATTTGCTGTGAAATGACTGGGAGCCAGAGCTTTTGTTATATGTACTTTACAAATCATTCTGTTTTTTCACAGATCATTTCTGGAGATGTCAAGATTTTATGACATTGTTAGGCTTTGTATCTTGCTTGACGGTGTCATGGGCCCTCTTGAATTATTTCCCCGCAGATGTTTGCAGTTCCATTATATATACCCTGTTAGCTGCAGTGACACCTACTGATCTAGGGCAACTGAATTAACTAAGAAATCCAAATTGCTGAATTTAGCCAGCAAGCTGCTTAGGGTTCCACCCACCAGATGTTTCTCCTGCGTAGAAGTCTGGGACTTTATAGACCTGCCTGCTTTTTAATCCTTGAAGCAAATATCAACACATTTGAGATCTGGAAGCTCATGGGTCCACACGGAAATGAAGTGTTGCCATGACCACAGCTTTAGGTCTTGCATATAAGACATTTATCCCAAGTATAACAGAGCAGGCCTATAGAAGGATTGTTTTAATTTTTACCTCTTGGAAGCCTTGAGAAGAAGCATACGTGGTTTAATGTTATAGCCAATAGAATGGTAATAAATACTGCAAGACGACAACACATTTGGTATTCAGAGACTTCATTCATTTAATGCTTCTAAGGAGAAAAATTTTAGTTACTTGCAGGGCACCCTTTGAAATTAATAGAAATAGGCTGGTTCCTCACTCTTGCACAGCATGTTTTCAGCTGTTGCAATATGGGCTTTTCCCAAAAGGATGAAGCACTTGGAGGTCTGATCACATAAAGAAAATCCCGTTATGCTTTTGTTTACAGGAGGACTATGCTCTGAGTAGTCAGAATATTAATTTTCTCAGCTGAAAAGTATACTAAGGTTATTAGGGCTTTAACTTCTTTAACAGTACTTCCCAGGCATTTACAGTGGATAATCAGAGAACTGGGGCAGTCACTCAACCTGGGAAGATGCGGATTTATTTCCTTACTGTCGTTATGATTACAAGTGCTGTCACTTGACATAAATTGATTATAGATGGCTATAGAATCAGAGGATACAGATGATCCATTTGTTTTCAGGTCTTCTAGTTATATTGCTGCATTTGCTACACAAGGTTTTCAGAGTAACAACTCCATCAGACATTAAGTTGAAGAGAATTTTGCTGTGCAGAGTATAGCAAAACAGACCTTTTAAAAATTTGTGCACCACACATTTTTTCATTAATGTTTTTATTCTTCTGACAGTAGTATTAATATGGAAGGCAGTTTTTACCATAATCCAATTATTTGTTGCCTGGAGAATTGGAAACTTCAAATCCTAAAGCCATTCAGTTTTCATAGCATTTTAATATAGATTTGATTTAATTCCATGGTATAATTTTGAGAATTGATTTTATCCTGTCCATGTTTAAAATCAGTGAAGGGCCTCACACTGATATCAATGAGAACATTATCAAATGCAGTTGGGCAGCAAGTACTCTTACTTCTTTTTTGTTGTTGTTGTTCCTGTAAGCAGTAGAGAACCATTAAGCCTGTAGTGCACAAATCTATGCAAAATTACAATGGGTGCAAGTTAACTTTATCATCAGAAGCCCATGGCAATTAGAATGCATCAGTGAGCAGACCATAAATTTTAGGACAGGCTGTATAAATTCAGGCAGAGATGATACTGGGGTTTCTGTGGTTTACTACTGCCTATTCTATATTGCTTTTCTTAACAGTGTTAAATTTTTGCTGCTTTTATTTTTTAATGTTTGTGCAAGATTTTTGTTGAGCTGAAAAACATATTACAGTAATAATAAAAGAGAATGGATTTTTATGGTATAGCAATGTGCAAAAGAGGCCAAAAATTTAAACATTTCCCTAGCCTTGAGCTATATGCTGTATACTTAGTGTAACAGGCAAAAATTGTAAGCCTGCACAAATCCCATCTGAAGCCAGAAATAGCAAAAAAACAAAAGTTGTTTTCATCAAGACCAACTCACTATTCCCAATTTATAATTACACTGGAACTTGCCAGTTTTATGGCAAGAGCAGCTCTGCCAGCAAACAGCACTATTTTTGCTGAGAGTTGTCATGTTGGCAGTTATTACAATCAAAATCATCACTTTATTTTATTTAAAATGTCTTTCCCCAGTAAGCAAGAAATAATACCTAGATTTGAAAGGGACGTATGTTAAAGATTTTTTTTTTTTTTACATTTCTCTCGAGTATGCAACGTATCCAACTTCAACTCCCTGCAGCAATACAAAATGCCCAAGAATAATGTTTTCAAAATCAATACATACTACAGTCAAATATGAGACTCCACAAACCCATAATTGAAACTGTGGGAGAAAAGCAGGCAGCTGGAATATAAACAGAGTACCCGAGTTGGATTATGACCAAGATGCAAGTGCTAATAGAACCTGTCTCTTGAGGAAGCTGCCGTGAGACCTTCCCAGCATGTGCAAGCATTCAAAAGCAGGGGTGTTTCAGGTGCAACCTGCTGATGCTCATCCCCAGGTGATTTATTGTTTAGCTGCCTGAAATCTCTGTAGAGAGCAATATATGCAGAGTTTCATCTAGCTTTTCTTTTTCACCTGGGTCATCTCGTATCTGTGAGCCCTTCTCACTTTGTATGTTCTCACTCTGTATGCGCAACCTCTGTTTCTCTACTGTGTTCCCTGTCTGCTGCCATCGCTGCCACCACCATCCTCTGACGGGGTTTGTGGCTCCACAGTCTCCTGGGACTGCTAGAACTCAGAAAACAGCAGTGGAATCAGTGTGCTGCTCTCTACTTAGGAAAAGCAAAAGCGTGGAGAGTATCTTCTGTCTTTTTGGAAGCACTGAAACAAGTAGGGACCATAAAAAAAAGAATTGAAGACTGTTTGTAGATGAGGTGTGTGTGTATGCATGTTTTGATCAAAGGATCCCTCAAAGAATGTAAGGCACCATCTATCTCTATTGCCACACGCAAGAAAGAGGAAGAAAAAACCGTGCACTGAGATACGTCTCTTCCTACTCCCCAACACAGTCCATGGCAGAGCCACGACAAAGCATCTTATGTTATTACCTGTAGTATTTGCCCTTCTCATTAGCACCACATGCTACGTGTCTGTCTCTCATGCCCATCATTCCCTTTCTAACCAAGTTCTTATTGTCTGGAAGACTTGCCACGAAGTCCCTAAGAACTTCATTTGACCACAAGCTCAGAATTATTGATTAAATTCACAAAAAAATTGTATCATTAACTTATGAGCCTGACAGAGTATTTGCAAGATTTCTGCTTTGGTCAGAGGAGAAACCTAAAGTCAATGATTTACAGCTTAAGTATATGCACAGTAGTTCAGCTATTCCACTTGAGGCAGTTTGGGCTGACATGAAAAATAAAAAGGGTAAAAGAAAGATCACTGAGGCAATGCTACAGACTTTCACAGAAGAGTTTGCAGTTTTGAGTCAGAGTAATTAGTTTGCAATATGGTATATTTAACAAAGAAATCATTACTTTTCTTTACATTGTTGTCATGCATGCCAAGGACACATCAATTTTCATGGGAAAACATAGATTGATCATTTACCTGCGGAACTGAGCATTTCAAATTGGGGAAGAGGAGGGGAGATTTTTGTACTTTTTGAGCCATAATTCATGAGCATATTTGACATACTTGACCCCAGTATTCTGTCTAGCTCCATCAGAAATGAAATGTAGCTCCCCAGTTCAGTCACCTTTTGTAGGCTGCGTAAAGCAGACTTATGTTATGCATATTTGTACAGTATATAGAACAGTGGGACCCCCGAACTGATGGGGGTCTCTGGAGGACTCTCACAGCATAAATATTACATGACAGTATATTACTAGGCAGAAAGAAAAACCCAGAAATACTTTTTAGAAAAGCTCTTATGAAATGTTGAGTTTTGTACTCTCAGAATATAGCAAGATTTTATTCTTTTTGATTGCATCCTCATTTGAACAAAGAACAAATCCTTAAATTAAGGCCAGACATGAATGAGAGATAATAGTTACTGATAAGAGCAGAACACGTGGTCCAGCCTGGGTGCTGACACCACAGCCACTGCAAATTACTTTCAAAGAGCTGTCCTGTGGTAAAGAAGAACATTCAGCCACTTTAAAATGTGCTGTACTAATAGTCCAGCCCTGCGGTGCCTTGCATTTCAGGTTTGGTGGGGCTTTTCAACTTTGCGTCAAGCAACAGCTTTTAGAAGTCCAGGGTCCAAATCAATTTGTAACCAGTCCTTGCAATTGCATATGGCACATTTAATACTGGTAATTTTGCAATGTGGGAAATTTATGAGTGATTAAGATAACTCACAGTGTTTTGATTGCCTAAAATTTCTCTGGTTTATGATAGATAAATACTAGTTTTTTTCTAGTAATTATTTCCTCCTGACTCTTTCCTTGGTATCTCAAACAGATTTGGAAAGAAAAAAGAAGATAAAAGTGGGAAAACAGATCAGAAGGGGAATCCAAAGCAAGGCACACTTAAAGAGGAGGAGCTGGAGAAAATGAAAGATGAACGTGAAAGGTGAGTAAATGGTGGCAGCGTCTTTGTTCATCAGATGAAAAACTTCAAAACAAGGGATTGCTTGAAAGGCCAACCAACCAGCCTGGCTGGAGATGTCCCAGACCAGTCCCATCCTGCTAGCAATCAGGTCCAGGCAATGCAGAGCTTTAGGCCCATCTCCTGGCTAAGTCAGGGCTGCTGTGTGACAGGAGCTTTTTTTTCTCCTGCAGTTTCTGTGCACTGCCCTGTCGCAGCTGCTATTCAGATCCCGACTTTTGCTAAGCTGGTGGAGATCAGTTCCTTCAAAACCTGTTTCACCTCTGCCCATTCCCAAGGCCAGCTGACATCGATAATTTTTTTCTCTATTTCTCTAAAGCAAGAACCTTCTCCCTTCTCTCCTGACAGCCTGTGCTGTGTTTTCTAGCACTTCAGACCTCTTCAGCTTCAGCTGGCTGTGCCATCAAATAGTAGGTTTTGTACTTAAGTACATTCTTTTCTGCTCAGTGTTTGCTGGTTAGCCACATGTTGCAGAAATATCTATTCAACAAATGCTGAGTATGTCAAGAGATGCCAGGAAGAAAGGTTCAAATGGTTAAAATCAGTCTGAAGAGGCAGGGGTCTGCAAGCAGTGTGGTGGGTGAGACGAGCAAGACAAGAAGCTGAGTGTGTGCTAGCTGTGAGTATTTCTGAGATAGGGCTCTGAGACTGAAACAAAAAGCACCACTGCTGTGAATAAGCCCAATTTTCTGTCTTCTTCATAAAGTACTCCTTTTTCGTGCCCAATCTTAGCAACTTTGTTATCCTTTCAGGCAAAGAGAATGTTTCGTTTCTGCTTTCCCCCATGTCTGCCCTTCAGGAACTGGGGACGGTTTGTAAGTGCTGACAAGGCTCAGCGAACTCCTCTCTCCCCTTCCCCAACTCATCCAGAGGTACTTCATGATGTGCTGAAGAAGGTCTGTTTCCCTCTGATGGCTGCTATCAGAAAATTTAAAGAGCTCATATTTGCTGGCTCTCAAAAGGTGTCTGCAGTTGCTGTAAAACTTTCTGAGTTGTAGTAATATGGGTTGTCAGGGCATGGTGAAAGCTTTCAGAGGTCTCTTTTCCTTCACTGGAGCATTCTGCTCCTGGGAGATGGAATGGAAGCAGATATAGTTCCTTTTGGGCAGGCAGGGTTTTTCCACATGGGCCAGCCTTTTGTGGTGCTGGTCAGTGCCCAGGGAAAAGACACCCTGCTTTCATTCAAGTCATGCCATGCGTGGTCAGCCGTCTAAGTGGTAGCTAATGGGTTTGATGGGGAAAAGAAGTAAATCCAAACCACAGCCCTTGAAGTCTGCTGCTAATATTTACCATTTTAAAAGCTAGTTAGGTATCCAGTTGCTACAGTGCTGCTACTGGATATGCTTAGCCAGTGTTTAAGTATTTGGTTCATCTAAGTTAAGTAATGTCAAGAGAAACTTTGTACCATTTGTTTTAAAATTTCTGTGCCGTGTCCTTGATTTTGCCAGATTGATGAGTGCCTTTATTTTAAACTGCTGACTCCCAATTTGGATACTGGCAATTTGAGAGGTATGTGTCCTTCATTTTAAAGAAGCCAGTGTCTTTTATTAGGATCCTGGCAAGCTAAGAAGCATGTATCCCATCTGTTAAAGGGCCAGTGTCATTTACTAAAATGTTGGCAGGCAGCAAGGAATGAACCCTTCTGTCTAGAGGTCTAACGTTCCAATTGGACACAAGATAATTGTTCTTAATATTTCTTCAGCATTGTATGCCTTTTTTTTAAATTACAGTCACTGATTGACAGTAACTTGGTAAGGCTGCATTAGAAACTGGGAGCTCAATGTCTTCATCATTCTGGTTTCTCTAGTAATGATTGCAGTTTTGACCTGGAAGAGTTTGCAACTGAAATGGAGAACAGCAGGTGTGTTGAGAAGTGGATGAACCAAGATGTTATTTTTAACTCACTTATTTGATTCTTCTTCTATAATGCACAAGAATAGAAATATCAGCCTATTTTTTATCAGGTAATATAGCTTATATGTTTGGGGGATTAAAATTTAAAAATAAAAATAAAAAACCAGAAGAGGAGCAAAGAAATGTTCCCTGCGTTATCCCCAAAGCAATGCCACACACGATGTAAAAACAAGTAATTTGCTTCAACTTTCTTAATGAAGTAGAACATGACTGTATACGTTTGCCCACATAAGACTGTCTACAGGCTGACTGTTGAACTCTTCTTGAGTTAATCATAAAACAGAAGAGACTTTATCTTTCCTAGAGGAAAATTATATAAGGAAGCTAGTTCTCATATATGGGTAAGAACCGGTTTGGGATTTAAATCAGTGAAAGAAAACATTACCTGACTTGAATAATTCAGTGCTTTTCCTTAGTTGTTGGCTGTTCACCTAGTGATGGTGCTCAGCTAGCCAGTAAAGACAAGTTTTATAGCTCTGTCCCAAGATTTAGTAATTCTATAAAGTAATTCAAGTCCAAGATTTTAATGCACATATTGGCAAAGAAAACCTTGTGGCACATCCACACCATAGATCATCTGCTTCTATGACTTCACTAGCTGCAATCCTGCATACTTGTTCTCGTATTTATAAAACCAAGCTTCACTGAAGCTTATTAGAACACAGGCATATTTTCAAATCTGTTCTTGTTGAGAGTGAAATGGGTAGATGTTAAAACTACTAGGGGTAGTAGAACAGAACTGTTGATAGAAACATAGCATGTTTTGCCCTGATACCTGTGAACAAATCCTGTATTTAACAACTTGAACAAAATACAAATTAGTTTTGTAACATTTAACCTTTTTAGAATTAACTTAAACATGCGCCTAATTTCACCTTTCTGGGATTAGCTGTGTAAGTAATTCTTGTTCAGATCCTCAATCCAATAATTACAATATTAAAGTCGGGTTTTTGCTTAAACTTCAGTTTTCTTAAATGCTGACTGCCTAAATATTTCAGGATCTGTCATGCTAACTGATACTATGATTTTTCATCTGACAGTTTTTTTCAGAGGCCAAGCTGTCCATTTTGGATGGTAGTGGAAGAGGTCAGAGTAGTTGATTTTTGGGCTGGGTGTGACAGGATTAATGATCAAGTGCATTTCAGCATCTTAGCAGCTGTGGACCTCGCATGGTTTTGGATGTTGATTTTGTATGCAATATATGTTTGGCAGCTCTCCAAAAAACAGAATACTGTTCCAAGATCTCAGCTGAGAAATATTTTTCAGTAGGAAGTGCATTTCCAGTTTACAGGAGTAGGCCATCTCTCCAAGTTTTGCAAAGAGTTTTTGATTGGTATTGGATAGGTACAATAATATCTCACAAAATTTCAGGGATAAGCCTGCTGTAAAGGGTGCAGCCTTCTTCCAGAAGTTCTAACAAGATTTACAGACATGCAGAAATGTCAGATATGTTCACTGCACAATGATGGGCTGGCTGTGCAGTACAAACTCAGTGACTCTGGCTCTGACAGGAAACATCAGATCTTACGTAGGTGTGCTGCATGAGTGTAAGTCCTTCATGCTCAGAATAGGTTGGATTTCCTGCTTGTACAGAGAAGGAATTGTACAGTGCATGTGCAACAAGTCTGGCACATCTAGAATGTGTTAGAGCTAGTAGGCGTATGCAGACAGAGTATACAGCACTCACCCTGTAGTGCAGATGCTTCCCAAAAGGATTGGGCTTGCTTGCACATCGGTCCTCAGCATAGATTTGCCTGGCAACTCCTTTTATAGGCCGCCAAGTTTCAGATTTGAACCTGAAAAAGTGAAAATACATTTAGTATTTCTCTACCCTAGTAATTTCTACTTCCATTCCACATTATCCTCTTCACAGTTTTCAGTACAGCTCTCTATGCTGCTTTGTAGCTGCAGTTCTGTGAAGCAGCTCCATATCCTGCACCAAAATGCTGACGTCATTATTTTTTTACTTCTTGTATTCCCTAGCAGTCCTAACCAAGATCAAGGTCTCATTGTGCACTTTGCTGTTAGGGAAGCTTGGGCCTGACCCGAAGCACTACAGTTGAGGTAGAAGAGAGGAAATCTGGCAGGGGGAAAAAAAAAAAAGCATCCTGTGGGTGGGAATCTGACATGCGGGCAGTGCAGCTGCTTGTCCAGGTTCCTAAAAAGTCCCTGTCAGGCTAGGAATTTGTTCCAGACCTCAGCCCCAGGCCTCCTTTCTCTTCAAAGGCAGTACTTTATTATATGATTGTTACTTCTGCAGGCTTCAACTGGTTAACGGGAACTTAGGATGTTAGGCATTCCTTGTTTAGTAATAGCCTTATCTGTGTCCAATTGAATATGAAGTCAGCACCTCCTCTTCTTCTCCCCCTACCTCCCTTAACTTTCCTTGTGCCACAGAGATGCAACAACCCTGAAACTTGACTGGAGAAAGTCAGAAGTTCATGGCACAGTTAGTTTAGGAGGACAGACTTAACTGGTGATATAGTTCTCTGAGGTGGTGGTTTGTCCTTCCTGACACAAGTCAAGTGGTTCGTTGGACTGAGGCCCTATTTTAAATAAACTCATCATTTTGTTCATGCTTCAAAGAGTTTGGCTGTAATAAAGCATGTGCTCCAAAGGTCTAGAATCTGCCCATAAAAGGAAAAAGCAAATGCTATGTCTGAGGTTTATTTTGATCAAGCTGACTCAAATCTGTATTTTTAGTGTGTTCTGTATAAATTACTCAGAATTTATCATTTTAACAACAAGATGTTCACTACATTATTAAATACTGGAAGAGATCCTCTCTTCCTTTCCCTCAAAACAAGATTTATCTTCTTCCCTTCCTCCATCTTTTTCCCACTTGTTTGGGCATGCTTTTTAATTTTCTAACGTTTGAAAATCATTGTAAAACAAACTAGATAAATAGGTTAGGCACTCGAGTTTTACACATAATAATTTGTTTGCCTTTCAAATGCAAATAAAGTAACTGTCAATTGCAAGAAAACTATTTTTTCCTGTTTCTTTAGGATTATTTTACTGGAATATTCCTGCT